AATAAATGGATGATGTTTTAATAAGTAAACAGATGTATATGGTCTTAAATCTTCTATCCACAAAGCACTTCTTAACATCTTAGTAGATAATCATCAACACTTAACAATAGTTATTATAATCCATTCACAAAGTACTAGTCAGTGAACTTTCCTGTGCAGAAACCTAACAGACACCATCTTCAGCAAACTATAAAAGTTAACATCTGCAGAAATGGGTTAAATAAACATTGAGTGCTTTGACAATACGCAGTAAAAGAATATACCATCACCTCTACAAGATTCCTACAACATACTAGAATCCATTCATGACACAATCTTGGACAATCTCAGATTGAGAGACATTCCTCAGAGAACCTGGCCTGCGCTTCAAAACTATCAAGGCTGTAAAAAACAAAGAAAAACTAAATAACTGTTCCAGATTGAAAATGACCAAAGAAACATGAGGCCTACATGCATGCATGATCCGAGATTGGATCCTGGACCCTAAACGCCATTTGTAAAATCAGTTTTGAGTTACTACAACAAAATACCTGAGACATTTAGCAAACAAAGGAAGAGTTTTCTTTTGGTTCATGATCTGGTTTGGGATTTTCCAGTCCAAGAGCAGATGGACCCAGTGCTGCAAGCCTGTGATGCGGCTGTCGGATGCAAGTGGCAGGGAGCACACGGTGTTGCAGACTGGTCACTCCACGGCCAAGGAGCAAAAAGGAAGTTAAAGGAAGGACCAGGGTCCCCAAACCTCCTTGGGAGGACACCCTAATTATCTAAAGAGCCCCTCATTAGGCCATGTCTCCTACCGGTTCCCCTACTTCTGAACAATCTGGAACCAGGCCTGTAACAAATGCACCATAAAAGGGGAAAACGTGGGCTACACTGCATATTACAGAATAACTAAGGAAGTGAGGCGTAACAGATTCAAACATGTTAATGCAGTCCCAGGTGATAGCTTGATCCATGCATACACTGTATAATTTTCAAATCAGAGCAAATGGATCTATAGCGTCAACCATTTGAGCAAAGAAAATACATCCACTGCCCAACCATGGCATCAATATTGAGGTCATCAGTGAAATCTGAGCAGGGATCTGTGGATTGGAAAACACCTTGGTATCAATGTTAACTTCCTGATTTGGATGGGGATCCAGTAGTTATGTTGGGAGTGTCCTTATTTTGAGAAAATACACACTTTAGGATTTTAGAAGAAATGGGTCATTATGCCTTTTGCAACTTTTCCCCAAGTGGTTAGGGAAAAAAATATAAAGATAAAGAGCTAAAGGATAAACTTTAGATGACTGGTGATGGTGAATCTAGGGATTTCTGTGTGCTACACTACTCTGGAAACTGCAAATTATCAGTAAGTTTAAAATCAAATACTAAAATTAAATTATTTAAATTTATATGTTTAAAGTTATTTTTAAATAAATTTACTCCAAAAAGCACATAGTTAAATTCAGAGCCAACTTTTAGTAAATTTAAATAATACATGTTATGGACAGAGAGAGAGGCATTGAGATATTTCTTGAAGATTATTTACAGGGGCTGCTGCAGTTATTTTTTGAGGGGGAGCATGCTTTATACAAGCTTTTTTGTGGCTTGCTTTATTCACTTAGAAATATACCTTAGAAGATGGGTGCGATGGTGTATATCTGTAATCTCATTGTCTTGGTTAATTTTCTCTGGTTGCTGAGACAAAATACCCAACGCCCAAAATGAAGGAAGGGAAGGTTTATTTAGCTTACAGTTTGTGGAGGTTGCAGTCCATACTTGGCTGGCTCCGAGGCAGAAGACAGCAAAGCAACACGAGCAAAGGGGGGAATGGCAGCGGAACAGCAAAGCTGCCAGAGCAAAAGGGAGGAATGGCAGCAAGCAGCTTCTTCCCCTGCCTTCTTTTGTAAACAGGCTACCCCCACCTAAGGGGCGTGTAGCTCTCACATAATCTCCATGCCCTCCTCTTCCACAGGCTCAGGATGTATGCAAAGTAAGCACCCTGGCTTCCTGCTGAGTCACTTAGCCAAACCTCTAGACTCCCCAAGTTGACACAATGTATCAACCATAACACTCATCTACTCAGGAGGCTGAGGCAGAAGGATCACAAGTTGAAAGCCAGCCTGGGCAATTTACTGAGACCCTGTGTCAAAAATAAAATAGACAACTGGGCCAGGTATGTGGTTCCAAGGTAAAGTCCTTTTCTAGCATGAGCCAGGCCTTGGATTCAATACCACACACTACAAAAAAAAAAAAAATTTAATTAAATTCAAAGTAAATAAACACATACATTTGAGTGAGTGTCCTGGCTGCCTCTATGTCCTGAATTCAAAACATTTACATTTCACAGTCATTTTAACTTTGGAAAAGAGGCGGAGGTCGCACAGCAACAGATCAGGTGAATAAAGTGGATGAGGGCGCACCGTGATGTCCTCACAACCTGCCTTTCCTTGGCCAGCAGCATTCACTGTATTTTTTGTTGCACTTCATAAAGACACTCAGGAGAGAACATTTCCAGAAATGCTTCAGAACTTGCAAGAACAATGCAATAAGTGTGTTCAAAGTGAGAAGTATTTTGAGAGGGTACTGTAATCCATTTTTTATTTTTTGTCTTTTTGAGACACAGTTTCACTATGCAGTTCGGGCTGGCCTCAAACTCACCTTATAGCCCAAGCTGGCCATAAGCTCGTAGCCGTCTTCTTGCCTCAGTCTCCCGAGTGCTGGAATTATAAGCGTGCACCACCATTCCTGGCCTATAATCAATTTTTTTTAATTTAAACACACACCATACTTTTTGATCTGCCTTTGTATGTCATTATTCTCAATTAGAGACTGGCAGTGGGAGAGGTCATCCGTGGAAGAACTTAAGTGCTCCAAACAAGACAGGCTGGGCCAGGGTTACAGTAGCTCCAACACCCTGCCAACATCTGGGGCAGATCTGAGCTATAGGGAGAACAGCAGTTTGGCTGGGACAAGTATTCAAAGCCTTGGATATTTCTCTTGCAAAAGTCACCCTGAGAATGGCTGGAAATACAAGGTGTAATTGACAGGCATGAACAAAAAGTAAGCTTATATGTGGTTATTTTTCATGAGGCTTTTGATTTTTTTATGAAAGGACCAGTGATGCCAAGAACAAAGGTGTCCTAGAGTCCCTCCTGGAGGAAGTGACCCGGTCACCAAAGAGTCAAATCTTTGGGAAGAAAATTTATAAATAGCATCACCACAATCATTCTTCCATTTAAGCCATATGTGGTGGCCCAATGAAAAACACGAAATCGTCCATTCATTGTCGTTCTTATCCCATCTGATTAGTAAAATCATTTAAGTCGCCTTTTGTTTTTTCAATATGATATTTACTCATGAAGGCTTAGGTTTAAAATTAAAGCATTTAACCAAAGCACAACATAGATACTCACTGCTTTTTTCCAAGCACTACAGTGCATATTTTCCCTGCCTCCGAAGAGAGAGCTATAATTTAGGGTGCACCCATAAGTATAGGTTAGATTGAAATAATTGACACCACTGTAAAAACAGGAAAAGAAAATCAACTTGTATATTTTCCGATCATTTAAGTAAGTGAAAAAGAACTCTTTAAAATGGAACAGTAAGTATTGCACTGTAGTACAGTACATTTTTTTTTTTTTAAATTTTTGGCCTTACAGAGAAAGGAGGATAGATTGGAATGTTACTATTAGTAGTCAAACTAGTTTCAAAAAGCACAACTCACAGTTGCTTCATTCTAGATGCCAGAGTTTCAGAAGTTAAGTACATTCTAGAGGTGAGTGCTGAGGAGCACGTTTCCCAGGGATTTCCAGAGAACCTGTCTCTGTACCCGCAATAAAAAGATCCATTACACATCTACTACTCTTATGTTGTTTGAGGAAGAGTTGACCTGAATCCTCCAGCATCTCACCTGAGGCAACAGCATTGCCAAGCTGTGTGGAATTAAAGGGTGCTCCAGAGACACTGCATCACCCCAGGAAAAGGGATGTCCCACAGCTGCCATCCCGGGACACACTGCACGCACTGTATTTATTGAATTTCAGTCACCTTAGGTCATTTTCGTTTGATTATTTTTTATAATCCCTTTAAGAATGCAAAGGCATAGAGGGTAGAGATACCTGCTTCCCAAAGGTCGCTTCACGGGCTCATTTCCAAATCACTGAAGGGCTGACTCTGAACTTCTCAGTCTAAAAATTACACCCAATCCAGAAGCCAATGAATCTGAATTATTCCTGTCTCTGAGGAAAAATCACTCAGTGTCACTTCGCCTGCCTCCCCACCTATGTTATAAATAGCCCAATACTCATGCCTTCTGCAGAATGCTGTGAGAATAAAAAATCTTTAAAAGAAAAGCACCACTCAGATTCAACTAATATCTGCAGACATGTCTTCCCCATGCAAGGCACTCTCTTAGATATTTTACTTTTTTTTAAATTTAATCCTGAAAATAACCCTAGTACACAATTAGTGCCCGCATTCTCAGAATGAAACACCAAGGGCCAGAGAAGGGGAGTGATTCTCAGACAGCACAACTGACCATGAGCAATTCTAAGATTCAAATTTCAACTTCGCTCTCTCCATTTTCTTATACTCACTGAAGTATCTGTGTGTTTGCTTTTTGTTTTTCTTCCGGTGCAAGGAATCGAACTTACGACCTTGCGCTTGCCAGACAGGCGCTGTGCCACCGAGCTAAATCCCCAGCCCCTCACTGAAGTATCTCTATATTTAGGAGGCTGTTATACTAATAAGATCCTCCAGTAGAATGAAACTTTTGGAAATAACTAGCAAACTGAATCAGAGAAAGCAGATTCAGAACATCATTTTCAAACTCTGAGTCTCAGCCAGGCTTTTAAGATTTTATTGTTCAAGGTCAAAGCGCCATAACCTACGAACTTCTCCAGAGAGCAAAACAACGCATGTATAAATATAACCTGGAAAGGAGTCTGAAAGAAACAAAGAACCCATTCATTTAGGGTAAAGACTAGCGATAATAAGTATTTAGCTGCCGTGGAGGAGACTTTTAGAGGCCAGGGCAACACCGGGATTCCTGGGATGAACACTCACATCTGAGATGATATCTAGGAGGTAAGCAAACTTACTGCCTGCCAGAAATTACACAGCCTGAGATCCCTCAGGATGTATTTATAGCTGCTCTGTCACTAAGAAGCCAACATTTGATCTGTTCTTTCCAAAATAGGTTTTTAAAAATTCAAAAGGAAAAAGAGCAAGAGCCCTGTAAACAACATCTTCCGCAGCTCACTGTGGCACTGCAGCCAGAGAATAACTGACGTTCATGCTGGCTGCAGGGTCCCAACAGGGCAGATCGGGCCCAGGAGAGGAGGGTGCCGGGGGCCGGCAGCACGCAGGAGAAGGCTGCTCCCGAGGGCACTCTGCCCGCCTGGAGAGACACCGCAGCTGGCGCACCTCTTTGGGGAAGGAAGGCAACTCGGTGAGCTCGTTTCCTCTACGTATGTTTAATGCTACTTTGCCCTATGCTCCAGGGGGAAAAAAGAACACACACACACACACACACACACACACACACACACGAAGCAGAGGACCCTGAGTTCTGGTTTCCTAAGGCTCCCCAGTTCTTTTCAATGTCTAGAAGCCTATGGGAGGAGGCGGTTTTGGAAAAGGGCCCGAAGTCTCCATTCATGATTAGTGACACTTAGGCCGGAGTCACCCACTGTCACTCATCCAAGACACTGAAATCCAAAGGAGTTGGAAAATCATAAGTTCTCTTACATAGCTCATTTGACAGCAAAGTTTGTGACCTGAATTCCTCTAGTCACAAAACTTGACCCAGAATTATAAGGGAGCGTTTCAGGGCTGCCACTGCACACCCCTGGCTGGGTGTGTGTGTGTGTGTGTGTGAGAGAGAGAGAGAGAGAGAGAAAGAGAGAGAGAGGGGGAGGGAGAGATATTACACCTTTCCAGCGCCTTTCTTGGAAAATTATGAATTTCAGAATATCTTACGGCATGAACCCTGATGACACACTGTGAGCCTGAATCCTGTCTTTGAGTCTGTCTTCTTGTGTTCTCATTGTAGGTTAATTCACCTATCCGTCAGTAGAGACAATGAATTCGGAGTATCTTGCAGGCAGCTACGTCCACAGGAAGTGCACCACTGCCCAATCTAGGTCTGTTGCTTTCAAAGGCAAACATCGCGCTTTGGGAAAACCACTCTGCATGGGTGAGCTTCGCGTACCAGGTCACCGTGATCCTGGCAGGCAGCTGTCAGACGTCTGCACGGAGGACCTGGTCAGCTTCACCCTGAAATCACCTCTGACTCCTTCTCCCTCCCGGCACCAGAAGGAAATGGTCCGGGTGCAGCCTGGTTTTGGAGAGTTTAAACGTTTTGTGTTACTAGAAAAAAAGTTATTCTGAGAAGCATAATAATGATGCAATTATGTTTCTAACTGTAACCCTTTGTTGATACTATAAATTTAAGATCCCCCTATGGAAACAAAAAGGGAAAAATGAAAATACATGATAATAATAAAAAGTTCCTAAATTCAGAATGATAGCACGTCCAAGAAAATTTTCCTTTGGGTGGAACTGCCTTATTTCAAACATGTTGTAAAATAGTGGTCAGCCAGGCCAGGTGTGGTGGCACATACCTGTAATCCCAGCACTCAGGAGGGTGAAGTAGGCAGATCACTGAGAGTTTGAGGCCAGCCTGGGCTACATAGAGTTCAAGGCTAGCCCGAACTGCATAGGAAGACCCTGTTTCAAAAAGATACACACACAAAGAGACACAGAGAGAGAGGGAGGGAAGGAGAGAGAGAGAGAGAGGGAAGGAGAGAAATAGTGGCCACTTGACTCTTGCTTTGAATAAGACTCAGAACAAAATCCCACAGATATCTGCTTAGTAAAGCCTCTGCATCCAGAGCTACACAAACCTGTAGTCAAGAACTCTGAATCATAAAATTCTCTACTTTTTAAAATAGACCCACTATTTAACTGTTTTCTTGTCTTACAGGCCAAGATAATTTGGTCTAAATTTAAGACTTCAGTGGAGTGTGGATTATAGATTACCCACACTGAGATAAGGAACTACATCTTTTAAAGTATGCTGTAAATGTTGTCTCCCAGGGGTATTTAAGAACCTAATTAAAAGGTCTCCTGTTTGGAATTTTAAAATGTAAACTAGGTCAGGAACAATGTCTGTCCCAGAATACTACTGTTCACATGGCTGCATTTTTTGTTGTTGTTTGATTTTTGGTTTTTGTCTTAGTTACTTTTCTCTCTCTGGGGCAAAATACCCAACACCCAAAATTAAGGAAGGAAAGGTTTCTTTAGCTTATAGCTGGTGGAGGTTTCAGACCATAATCAGCCCGTTCCAAGGCAGGGTGGCACACGGCACAAGGGCAACACTTCAAGGTGGCATAAGACAGCAAAAGCAGCAAGAGCAAAGGGGAGGCACAAGCCTCTTTTCCTTCCTTATATTGTAAACAGGCTACCCCACCCAGAGGGTGTGTAGCACTCACATAATCTCCATGCCCTCCTCCTGCACAGGCTCAGGATGAATACAGAGTAAGCACCCTGGCCCCTGCTGAGTCACTTAGTTACCTTCCTAAACTTCTCAGATTGACACAGTGAACATCCCAGAGCCCTAAGGGCGTGTCCTGTTCATCCCAGAACATAGAACTGCTGAGTCACGCAGCCAAACCTCTGGACTCCTCAAGGTAACACAATGTATCAACCATAACAGTTCTTTAATCTCATAGTTTTGTCACTTTTGTCAGAATGTCTGGCTTCCAAATCCTCTGTGCTTATGGACTTGGGGTGAAAACCATGAAAAAATAGGTAAACAGACAAACACAACAGAGGAAGATGAGATTTAAAATGAAAACACAGTAGAAAAACAGTAGTTACCTCTGGTCAAGCCAGAAAAAGAAGGAAAAGCATGAACTCCCCACAGGTCTGAAAGATGGGCGTGGCAAGGCGGAGGAAGAGTTATTTAGAGGATGACAGCCTGAGATTCAGGGTGTTATGGTTGATACATCGTCTCAACATGAGGAGTTCAGAGGCTGGGCTAAGTGACTCAGCAGTTCTGCATCTTGGGGTGAAAAGGACAGGCCCTTCCTGCTCTGGGAGGTTCATTGTGTCAACTTGAGAAGTCTAGAAGGTTAACTATGTGACTCAGCAGGGGGCCAGGGTCCTTATTTTGTATTCCTCATGAGCCTGTGCAAGAGGAGGGCGCGGAGATAATGTGAGTACTACAGGCCCCCTGGATGGGGGTAGCCTGCTTACAAGGTAGAAAAGAGGCTTGTGCTCTCCCTTTGTGCTCTTGCTGCCTTTGCTGTCTTGTGCCATCTTAAAGTGTTGCCGCTGTGCCCTGCCACCCTGCCTTGGAGCCAGCCGATTATAGACTGACACCTCCACAAACTGTGAGCTACATAAACCTTTCCTTCCTTCATTTTGGGTGTTGGGTACTTTGTCTCAGCAACCAGAGAAAAGTAACGAAGACACATGGAAAGGAAAAAGGCACGCTCTGTGGCAGAGATGGTTTGTGGTCACAAAGCATTTCCCCTTCTTCCTCACTAAACAATCCCGATTTGATTTCGGCAGCAGTGTTACTGCCCAGGTCCCTTGCAGCCAGGTTGGCAGGTGACTGCATTCTGATCTCCGGCATGGAAGCGCGTGTTAGTGGGGTGCGGGCGAGGCTGGGGCTCAGGCAGCGGCAGCCCCTTTCCTGCCTTCTCCCTTGTGGAATGAGGAACCCCAGCAACCAACTTGAATGAAGTCTGCCCGGTGGATGTGATGCAGAGAGGCTGGCCCCGAGTCCCTGATGGCTCCGGGGAGCTGCCAGGTTCACAGGGACAACGCCTCGGTGGACTACCAGCGCACGGAAGGTTAAACTCGTGTGCATTTTTATTGTTGTTATATTCAATTCTGTCCAAAACCTTACTGACTGAGACTGGAGAAGACCCGGTTGTATCACTCACAGGACCCCCGGCCTTGCTGCGGGAAGTGGAGCTCCTGGGGGAGCAGCATCCGCGTCTTCTGGGGGCTTGTTCGGAGCGTTGACACGCAGATCGCCTGCACCCTCTTTCTCCGATCGGCAGTTTACAGCCCCCGCCTGCCCCCGGTATTTATATGCACAATTTAAGAGGTTCGAGAAGCACTGATGTAGATTCTGTCTGAAAACCAGACTAAACATCATTGATCTGAATGCAAAACTAAAAACAAACAGGAAGTTCACACAACGTTTAAGAAAAAACTAATTTTGGGCTTTTTAAAGACACAATTCAAAATAAAGTAGGTGCTTTACACATGATCAAGGGGCCAGCATCCACAAACAATAACTACTTTGGGCCACTGATCTTACAGCAAAGCTTTTTATTCTTGTTTTTCAGTTACATGCCACAAAAATACATTATCTCCTTCAGAACCACTAATTTTCTAGCAAGTTTGGTTACATCATAACTTCCCAGTTGAAAATGCATTCACTTCAGCACTGAAAAATAAAGTACCTTTTCTTCTCTCTTCTTCCCTTTTCTCTCCCTTTTCTCTGTAAATTACCATACTGGCCTCAAACTCACAGTCCTCTTGTCTCAGCCTCCCAAGGGCTGGGACTGCAAGCATATGCCACCACACCCTGCTAAAAGGGAACATTATACAGTACTTTCAGTGTAAACTTATAGCCTGAAAGCTTTCCTTCACTCCCAAAATGGGTTCCCAGTCAGTGCATTTAATCCTTGAAACAAACAAGGTATTCTGAATCAATTAACTTTAGCTAATTTTCCAGTGACTTTACATATGATTTACATACAATAAAATGTCCAGCTCTTAACTGTACTCCTGGATGAGTATGATAATCGTATTCATCACCACCCTACTCTAAATTTAAGGCATTCCGACCACTACAGAAAGCTCAGGGGAACACTCCTCTGGGGTCATCCCCACCTCCACCTACCACACAAAGAGGACACCTCTACCGTGGCTTTCTTCACCTTTTTTTTTTTCTCCTTCCTTTCTTTTCTCCTTTCTTTCCTTCCTTCCTTCCTTCCTTCCTTCCTTCCTTCCTTCCTTCCTTCCTTAATTTAGAGTACTAGAGATTAACTCAGGGCCTTTGCACTGAGCTATAGCCCAAGCCCTTATTATTTTTTGAGACAGGGCCTTGCTAAGTCACTAAATTGCTTCAACTTGTTATCCTCCTGCCTCAGCCTCCGAAGTGCTGGGATTACAGGTGTATACCACCACATCAGGCAGGAATTTTACTTTAAAAAAATAACTTTTTTCTTATGTTAGGTAATTATTTAAATAAGCTAATTGTGACTGTTGCTTCTTTTGCCCTGATCCAATGTATTTAGCTTTAAAACTGTGTGGCGAGGAGCTCCTGAGCATTGTGCTCACTCTTAGAATCAGCTTACTCCGTCAGTTTTCGGCAACTCACTCTCCTCCATTGCAGGAGGCGGGCAATGATACCCACACAGTCCTTACAAGAAAGTTATGAGAAAGGCACTTCTAGGTTTTAGGACACTGCAAATGTAAAGCAGCAGTAATACTCGTCGTTTCACTCGTAAACCTTACAAAACCCTGAGGTACAATATTGAGATAAGAAGTCTGAGACCCAGCGCAACGCAGTTCCTGGCTCATGCTCACCCAGCATGCCCGTGGCTCATTCTCTCTCCAATTAAAACCCATAGCGTGCGAGCAGCCGAGTCACAGATCGCTTCTGGGGCGCCTCGCTGCGTACTTGGGGGTCAGTTCTTTGATCAGATTCACGTAGTCGGTTTTCTCCGCGCATGCCCTGCACTCCTCCCCCCAGCTGTTCAGAATCCGCTTCAGCTCTGCTACTCTCATCTTCCCCAGATCCACCGACGCCAAGTCCAGCTGCTTTTCTAAACGCCAAAAAGAAAAAGGCACAATTAGACCACAGAAGCAAGGCCTGGGACCTGGCTCAGAGGTAAAGTGCTTGCCTTGGTGTGCACAAGACCCTGCGTTCAGTCCCCAGCGCTGCGAAAGGAAACAACAAAGACACGCGATGAAACACTTCAAAAGGCGCGGGCCACTAACTTCCCGATGAGCCAACTTGAGAACAGTTCCAGTTTCCACGGAAACTAAGACAGGTCCAGGGAAATGTAGTGTACACTGGCCCTCCCTTCCAGCGGGTTCTACGGATGCAACCAACCACAGCCCAAAACTGTTCACGATGCAGACAAAACCGCATCTGCGCTGAGTATGTACAGACTTTTCCTGCCATTGTTCTCTAAATAATACAGTGTGACAGCTACTTACATAACATTTGCATTGAGTGATGTACATAATCTAGCATAATCTACGATTTAAGGAACATGGGAGCATGTGCTCAGGTTTTACGCAAACTCTACGCCTTTTTATATAGAGGACTTAGCATCTGAGGTGTGGTATCCCCAGGCGGGTGGGGAGACCAATCCCCACTGATTCTGAGGGACAACTATACAACGCTATCGGGCTAGTTTGGGTTCAGTCTGCCTTTCTTGCCAAGGGATTGTACTCACTTCAAAAAAAGGACCTATACAGCTCTGCTGGGTTCTCAGGATCAGCATTCCTAAAACAAATAGTATTGCATCTTAATTGTGCTCTTAAGATAAAAAGTGAGAGATTTGTAAAAGGCATTGTCTTTGGGATAGCTTCGGCTGTGGCCATCTGAAGCCATAGATCGAAATTACCCAGCAAGTCACAGTGCACTTTTTGTGCGAGCTAGGTCTTTAGTAACACAGCTGAACACTATGGAGTGGTGGCGACCCTTCTGAGTGTCCAAACTGCGAGCCAAATCCCGCTTATTTATTGCAAAGTGCCAATTAAACCTGAACACTGAGGTTTTAGGTTCGAAAAAACAATTTCTACATTAACATCTTTTGTCTTAAAAGAAAAGCAACATGCGTGCCATAGGTTCACCACCACTGCTATAGAGTTTTCAGTAAAAATGTAAAGAAATCAAAACCATACATAAAATCAGGAGTATTTTCCACTGATTCTTCCTTGTGTAGGTTCTTGCTTAAACTCACCTGCCACCCTGCCCTGTGGGGATTACTAAATCATCCCAGCGGGTATTTGCAGCCCTTGGTGGCACACCCGACTCTAACACCAGTGCTTCGGTGCCAACAGCCTGGCTCCTAAAACCCTTGGCAATGTGCTCATCACCGGTGTCTAACTCACCCACCACAACTGCTGCTTCTCTGCTCATGGATGATCTGCAGAGAATATCGAGAGCTCAGTTAAGCTCTAGTTCCACATTCAAAAGGAAAAAAAACCTCATCCATAGGATGATTATAACGTCACTACTAAACAGGGATAATTTTCCTCTTTCAAAACAAAGTCACCTTTGGCCCCCCCCACTGCTAAAGTGTTTGCTTCAAACATGGATACAGTGTTCAGATTCACTTATGAAACAATTACTGCCAGCCCAGGCCTTTTTCAGCCTGACTTGTCTTTAAAATTTTTCTTTTTGCACCCTGCATTGCAGACATAACAGTTTAAAATATTATAAACCTAATACACGTCAGGTGATTTGTCAAAATGTTCCAGTGTGTTCTGGAAAACTAGAAAATTAGATTTTAAAGGTTTGGCTTTTTTTGGTCTTTTTTGAGACAGGGTCTCACTATGCAGTTCAGGCTGGCCTTGAGCTCATTTTGTAGCCCAGGCTGGTCTGGAACTCACAACGATCCTCCTGCCTCAGCCTCCCGAGTGCTGGGATTACAGGCATGCGCCACCATGCCCAGAGGTTCCTTTTTTTGAGACAGGATCTCGCTATGTACTCCAAGCGGGTCTCAAACTCATAGCAATCCTCCTGCCTCAGCCTCACAAGTGCTGGGGTTACTGGAGTACACCACCACACCCAAGTTTAATTTTTTTTTTTTTTTAATTTGGAAGATTAGCTATACTCTGTATTCCAGAGAATCACCTCCTCCCCTTTTGGGTATGGGGGATTCAACCTAGAGGTTCTCTACCACTGAGCTACATTCCCAGCCCTTTCTATTTTTTATTTTGAGACAGTCTCACTATGTTGCCCAGACTGACCTCAAACTTGTGATCCCCCTGCCTCAGTCTCCCAAGTAACTGGGATTATAAGTATATGTCCCAGGCCTATTGACAAACCTAAAGCCCCAGTTCAATCTCCTCTTTTTGTCCAAGAAAAATTTAGAATTATTCATCAATACAAGAGAAATGGCACATGGAGAAAAAATACTTTCTTGTGTCCACAGTTTCTTTAAGTTTTTCCAGAGAATCTGGTATCTGGCATTAATTTTTAAAGGGGGGAATTTAGGATGTTTTAGTGACATCCTAAAACTACAAAGAAAAAGTCAATACAAAAGTTAAAATTATTTCACGACTCCCCAAGGGCCTCTAGTGGCCAGTGTTACCAAACATGTATCATTAAGCAAATTCATTTCTTTTTAGTACTATCTGATTACTTTTCCTACGATTTAAGGAGCCTTGTAATATGCCTTGCATAGGCCAGCTTTTAAAAATAAATTTGTTGAATCAACAAATCAGCATGGATCTGTCCCTTTTATAAATATTGCAGATGCAGCATTGATGATTCCTGCCTTTACTTTACTACTTCAAAGCCAATAAAAAGGGAGGCCTGCTTATAATGACTACCTTGGAATTTAGGGCTAGCGCTTGGCAAATTAGGAAACAGGTTAGCTTTGGTTCCTTCCAACCTTAAACCTATTTAAAGTTAACTAAGTAGCAACAGAGTGATAGGTTGTGCTGGGAAATTAAGACTTCTAAAATAATATGGGTTGGACGTTAATCACTTTGGTAGTTCACAATACTACACTGGATCTGTAACACAAAACAATGACTTAAGCAAAAGAAATGTGTCTCTACTGGTGGAATTTCAGATGATCTGAAGGGAGAATTCCTTAGCCTTTTATCATACCTACTCAATCTATCCAAAAGGCTGGCCCAGATACAAACCGTCAGTGTAAGAATAGATCCAACTGTGTGAAATTTATAAGGCCAAGGATAATGTTTTAAATAGGACATCTCCTTCCTTTCCTTGCAGTTTATTTTAGGTACCTCTGATAATCTATTTTATTAGGCAGAACTTGATTTGATGTAAATAACCTCTTTCCTAAAATTTAAAACTGGCAGACTAGTAGACATGCCCAGGAAGAAAAATATAGTCACTTGAAAGCCCTACTACATCTTTGAACAGACACAACTTTTGTCTCGATAGATTACCACGAGCTAAATCACCAGGAGTAGTTGCACTGTCTTCTGAAATTTTTCTTCAGATGCACGGCTGACACTGCGTTGGTACATGAGGAGTTTACACTTTGCTTTTGAGGTTGGCAGTTTTAACCTGGGCCTGATTCGAACCATTTATTTCTCTTCCTTCAAAGAAACTGCTCAGGTGGCAAGAGGGAGCATTTGTCAGCCCAGCAACCAAGTAGTTTATGAAGAACTCCTTTCCTTTTACTTTTTTTTTTTTTTGAGGCAGGGTCTCGCTATGCAGTTCAGGCTGACCTTGAGCTCACTTTGTAGCTCAGGCTGGTCTCAAACTTTTGATGATCCTCCTGCCTCAGCCTCCCGAGTGCTGGGATTACAGGCATGCGTCACCACGCCCGGCTTTTTTTTTTTTGAGACAAGGTCTTGCTACGTAGTTCAGGTTGTCCTTGAACTCACTGTGTAGCCAGGCTGGCTAGGACTAGACACACTGGAGGAAATATTTCATACCGTATTTCAGCTCGCAGATCTGGCTGTCCATCTTCTTCAGCTTCTCGCAGATCTTCCCGACAGGCACGTGCACGCTCATGGGGCGGGTGACTTCGCTTAGGATCTTGGTGGCTGCGTCCTTCGCGGCGCCTAGATAATAGCACTGAAGGAGAATGAAGACAATTTAATGCCCAAGACTTTAAAAGGAAAAAAAGCAAGTAATACAGGAACAGAGCAGGAAGAACGAAGTCAGCCCAGTTTGCAGCCCGGTTAGAAGTGCCATCCGGCACGCTTGATGTTGAAAGCTGGTGCAAAGAGCTCACGCTTGCTCAGTGTCCTCACTGTGCATGAACTGCTCTCGCCGCTCGAAGACAGCCCCTCTCTTAGTCCTCACAGCCGTACTATCATCCTCCCCACGCCGACCCGGCTACCTAAGGTTGCCCGCAGCAACGGAAGACAGAGTTAAACATCTGCCTTTTGACTCCAGAGTCCAGGACCTGCTCTGTCATGCAATGCTGCCTTTCAAGCTACCAACTTAATACTTTTACATATAAACAGATAAAACTTGATGGCACAAATAAATGGCAAAAATTTTACAACGTATTGGTGGAAAGTGGTTAACAATGCAGATTTAGCTGACAAATTCAGTGTAGTATTTTAGGCAAAAAGGAATTGGCCTGGGCTTGAGGGAGTAACTCAGAGACAGTGCAGCTCAGAGAGGGTGCAGCTCAGAGAGGGTGTAGCTCAGAGAGGGTGCAGCTCAGAGGGTGTAGCTCAAGCCCTGGATTCAGTTCCTAGCACCAAAAACCAAACCAAAACCAAATAAAACAAAGCAAAACAGGAATTGTCTTTAGTAATGTAAAATAATATGCTGAAAAAAGCCATATGAATAAACATGGGCAGCACCATCTAAATACAGTATAAGAAAACATAATCCTGTGTAAATAGCAATGTAAATTGTTTTGGTAAATCTGACTTGGTAACCAATGGAAAGTCTAAGCCACTCATAATGTAGGACAATATATTACCATTAGGCATTCAGTTTCATTGTTTCATTTTTTCACTTAAGAAGACGTAAAGTTATGTGCCTGTGATTTACACAGAAAGCAAAATGAAATGTTATATTCGGGGTGAAAATACACAGGGCTACGTTTCCCTGGAGAAGCTTGTTTCTGCGTGTTGTTCACAGCGATGCGCTGGAGCAAACATGCAAGCAGGAGGACAAGTCTAAGGGGAGAAATGGAACTGCTCAAGCCCACAAGAAAAGGGGAAAGATTTACCATACCAGGCGGTTTTCTTTTCCTTTGGCATCTAGGCAAAAGTCAATCAACTCTTTTTCTATGGTGTCCAGGGAAAAAGTAACCCCTCTGGCTATCAGTGAGTTGTAGAATCTGTTCAAGAATTCTATGCACACTGAAAGGAGCAAAGAAATAGATCTGTATGCGCAGCTTAAGTGCTTTTATACCTATGCTCACAACCAGTTCACCAAGTGGAAGAATAGGTTTAAAGCACTGTGACAGTAGATTCAAATTCTAAGACTGACTTGGGGCCTGTTACTAAAGCTTTTGATACAGTGGACACTAATATGAGGATACTATATCAGTTATTTAATCAATTTTTGGAACCATTTCCATCTAAAATGAGAACTTTGCTACAAATCTTAGAAACAGTCCATATGGCTGTCAACAAATGGATAAAGAAAATGTGGTGGGCAACCCACTGAGGAACCCTCCTGTCTCCTAGGAGCTATTCCCTGCCCCCACTTCCTCGTTCTTATTCCCCACCCCCGATTCTTATTCCCCATTCCTTTCCTCCAATAAACGTTCCTACTCTTAACCTCCATTGTTCCTCGAAAAAACTGTGGTATATGTATACAATGGAGTACTACTCTACTATTAACAAGGTAAACTTGAATCGTGTAGAAAAGTGGATGCACCTAGAGACTGTAATCTTAAGTGAAATAAATTGGACACAGAAGTTTAAATATCACAGAGTTTCCATAAGCGAAATAAATCAAACATACATGTGCAAGCACCGCATTGTTTCTCTAGTGTAAAGCCTGAAAGAGTTAATTTAAACTAGGAGATATGATAGACATTGGGAATTGATAGGAAAGCACTCATAGGTAAAGGATAACTGGAATATGGGAAAAGAGAAGGGAAAGAAGGAGAAAGTTTGTATATATGTATATTCAGGATAGTCAACACAGGTGTTGTACTGTCCTGTATTTCCTTGCTGAAAGAAACTGTCAGTGAGGCATCGGCTGATTAGCTTTGTATGTCTATATGTGTTTTCATGAGAAACTACATTGAAGATATCAATATGTAATACAATAAGCATTGTTAATGCCCTACCACTCTGTTTGTAACTCTGTAATGTCTGTACTGATCCTTTGCTATTTTGTAAAACATTGTCGATCTGTTAGTATTTTCCTCCTTTTATTTCTAAAATAAAATAAAATAAAATAAATAAATAAATAAATAAATAAATAAATAAATAAATATCACAGAGTTTCTCTTGTGTGAGAAACCCGAAGGGTAAACAAGGAGTGTAATGGAAGACAGCTATTACGAAGTAGGAAGCACATGTCAAACGGGAAGGGAACTACAGGAAGGGCGTGCAGGAAGTGAGGAAGGCAAAGAGGAACAGAGTGGAAGGAAAAGATGGCAACAAAACATATGTAACTGTGGAAAGCAGAAAAGATTAAAGGGAGGGGAGGGGAATGGGGAAAAAGAATTAAGATACATGTATGACAAATATGTACTAATAAAATATGGAAGTTTAAAAAGATAAAGTTTAAAACAAAAGATTGAAAATGAGGGTGGACTTAAAAATATGTTTGAGACAAACTTCAAATCTTCATTCAATCTTCAAATTCTGGATTTAAATCAAGGTGGAATGTTCTGAGATTGACAAAATAAAAAATAAAAAAGCACTGGAAAGTCCACTTCCATTTCCAACATCCAATTTTTGCCAAGCGGGGGTTTCCACAGTGACAGCAACCAGAACAAAAGTATTAGTGCCACAACTGTGTACTAACAAAAAATAAAATTGGAGAAAAAAAAGAGTTCAGAGTAGACCGGATGTTAACAAGGCACCTCCGGCCTCGCCGTCTAGGACCGTCTAGACATAGAAAGACAAGCTCAGGGTTCCCCCTCTCTGCATTACGGTAGCGTTTTTTTTTATACAATGTAATAATAATGGAAATGAAGTACACATAAATGTAATGTGCTGAGTCACCCAAAACCACCCCCTCCCCATCCATGGCAAAACTGTCTTCTCTGAAACAGATCCCGGGTGCCCAGAAGGCCTTGCAGCGTTGCACCAATTCCGTTCTCACTTGTACCTAATCTGCTGCTAATACCAATTTTGTGGAGGTTTTTATTTTTTCCAAATGATTGAACATTTTCAGTAGCCTCCTGCCCTAATTTATATTTCAATCTTTTTTTATTTCTTTAACCATAAAAATCTTATCTTACATTCCACACTTGATCATTCTAATAGCGAAGACTGCTTGGGTACGCCTCTTCTGTCTCCTGTCCCAGCTGGCTGTCCTTTAGCTTGCTCCTCTTCCCTGTGAGCCTGTGACTTTTCTGAGCGCCCAGCTCCTGGTCAGCCGCATGATCATGAGGGTAAACACTCATGCTTACAATGTACTGTGCTGCTAAACTGTGGTGTTTGCTAAGTTAGATTTTTGTTTTTGTTTTTGTTTGTTTTTCCTCTGGTACCAGGAATCGAACTCATGACCTTGTGCTTGCCAGGCAGGCGCTTTGCTGTTGAGCTAAATCCCCAGCTCCTTGCTAAGTTAGATGTACTGAATGCATGTTTGTCAGAGTATTTTCAATTTACGATGGATTTATCAGGATGCAACCCCACTGCATAACCATTACACACACATGCACACACACACACATACACATAACTTCCTATTAGTTATGTTTCTCTGGAGAACACCAATACAACGTCCAACTAGAAAGAGTGAAAAAGCAGCTGGATATACGGTCAGGCGTCACTTACAGACGGGCAGGCTCCGAGAAGGTTGTCATTAGGGGATTTGGCTGTTGTGGCAACATCAGAGAGGATACTTACACAAACTTACAAGGCATAGCCTACGGAGGCTGTTTGGCATTTCCTATCAGTAGCGCTGCTAGGCTACAAGCGTGCACAGTACTAACTATATTAAAAAATTCTGCAGGCAACTTTAACACAAGGGTCAAAACTTGCCCAACATATCTAACCATAGAAAAAGCACAGTAACAATACAATACGAACTATCTTTTAAATGGCACACCTGCAGAGAGCTCTTACCATTGACGGAGTGCTCAAGACTGGGAGCAGCTCAGGGCGAGCAAGGGCGTGGCTTGTGGAGGGGAGGCAAAGCCCAGGGCAGGCCCCTGCCCTGCTCCGGACTGTATAAACACTCCATCATTCGGGCTTGAAAACTCACATTCTCTCTTCAGTAACAAGTTAACCTTTGTTACAGTAATTTTTTACTGTATAATTTTTTCAAAAACTATTTGACTCTTGTGGTAGCACTTGGTCTACAAGCTATCCAAAAATATATTCTTTACATATCCCACCGACCTGTGTACTCCCTGCTCCACCTTCTCCGCCCCCTTATGCCATAGTCTACCTTCCTGTATCTTTTATTTTACTCTACATATTTATATATTTTATTTGTTTTATCCTAGAGAAAACATACACTCTTTTTTCTTTAGATCTTTGTAAGTTTTTATTCCATTAAATTTGAGGTTTTAAAAAATTTATTTCTTAAAAACTAAGAGCCAGGCGTGGTGGCGCATGCCTGTAATCCCAGCACTTGGGAGGCTGAGGCAGGAGGATTGGTGCAAGTTCGAGGCAAGCCTGGGCTACAAAGTGAGCTCAAGGCCAGCCTGAACTGCATAGCAAGACCCTGTCTCAAAAAGACCAATATAAAAAAAAATTAAAAAAAAAAAACCAAGACACAACTATACACATCTTCCTAGGACTACACAGAGTCAAGATCATCAATACTAATGTTTTTCACCTCCACATCTTGTCCCTTGGAAGGTCTGTAAGGACAATGATGAACGTGCGCTGGTCACCTTCTGTGAGGACAATATTGTCCTTTGGAATCTCCTCAGCCTTTCTGAGACAGTTTTGCAGTTAATTTTTAACAAGTAGAAAGCAGGAATTCTAAAATAATGGTTGAAATTATAGTACAGTAAATACATGAACCATTCACATAGCCATTCATTATCAAATATTATATACTGTACATAATTAGATGCACGATATTTCTATAGGATGGGCAGTGCAGCAGGTGTGTTCAGTGTGTAAGTAATGCCTAATGTTACTATCTCACTGGGTGATAGGAATATTTTTCTGCATTATAATCTCATGGCGTCATCATGTTTTCGACCCTTCTTGACTGACATGTCATTAAGTGGCACTAGACTATAAATCTAGAGGTCACAGTACAGTGTAGGATGATACATAAATTTGTAAGTCATCAACCTCCCAATGATATTTATGAGACCACAGCACAGGGGGAGATGAGAAGAGATGTAGCCTCAGGTCTCTCGCCCATGAAATGCTCAACGTTTAGAGATTTGGAAGATGGGAAAGAAACAGAAAAGACGGAAAGCAGCAGCCAGTGAGGCAGGCTGAGAACAAAGGGCCAGTGTTAATACCAAAGGCAAATGAGGAAAATGTTAGAAGAAAAGCCTGTCACCCACCATGTTGAACGCTACTGGTAGAGTGTGAAAAATGCGATCTCTCCCAACTATTTTGCTGTGAGATCTAATTAGCAAATATTTTAAGTATGTAAAGATGACACCTGCTATCATGATCAATGCTGTGCGTGAGCAGAAACTCCGTCTCCAGCCGCCTTTCTTGTCATCCTGCAAAGGAAACCTAGTAGCACAGTGCCACATAACTCTTGCTCTGTTCCTTCCAGTGCTTTTTCATGTCTTCTGTGTACCTCAACTGTCATTCTGCGAAGTATCAGCTAGACGAGGAGTCAGGAATTCTATCTTGTGCTTTCAACTTGCCTAGAGTTGACATTCCAAAAGGTACATGAAATTCCACATAGCACGCAGACATCCATTTGTTCAACAGATCTAGCGCCTACTGCATGCATGGACAGTAGAAGCTGCTGGAAATGAGCCGGTGAGAGACACAGTCTTGAGTTTCAGAGTCCCAGTTTGGAGGAGAACAAAACCATTACTGAGCCATACGAGTACTAGATACTACAGTCAAGGAGAGGAAGCTACCTGGAGGGAACTGGGAAGCCACTTAAAGATATTAATGAACAAAGAACATGATGACCCTCCCAGAGGGCTAGGGAGAAGGAGAAAAGGTGCAGGAAGGATGGCAGCATGACAGTAAGGAGTCAAAAGTGGTGGGTCTGTGACAAGGCACTGGGGTCAGGGAAGGAGAAAGGACCAGAGAGTCCATCAGGAGGTAGAATGGATGGATACAGTGATTGATTGGCTGTGAGTGAACAGGGAGAAAACTCAAGAATTCAGGCTGGTTGACCAGGTGATTGTCCCATCTTGACAATGCCCCATCCTGGCATTACAGGCTTGAAGGGGTGTAAGGGGGTGGTGACTTGATTTTTTACTGTGTTGTGTTTGCAGTATGCAGGATGTTCAGTAGTGCACTGGGTGCGTGACTAGGAAGGTCTGGAAACTCTACAAAGGCCTGGTCTGAACTCTAGAAAGAAGGTGGTTTGGATGTAAGATTTTGGATTTACAAACTGTTCAGCAGGTTGATTCTGACTGCACTGAAGAGAGTGTAGACGAAGAAGGGCAGAAGGCAGAATTCTGGAAAACTTAACATTTAAGCCATGGCTAGAGGATTAGAATTCCACAAAGATACCTTCAACAAATGGGCATAGAGACAGGAAGCAAAGAAAAACGGAAGAACAGTATCAAGACCATCACAGGAAGAGTTTCTAAAGGGAAAAGAAGTCAATGGTGTCACATGCTACAAAGTGTCAGTTCATTCCTCAGATTCACATGGTGAGAATAACCTCACCATGAATCACCTAACAAATTAGGAACTCCACGATCTTGGCGTGTGTATTTTGCTATAGTAACTTCAAATAACCACATTCCTTTATGTTGTGGGTTTTTGTTTATTAAAAAGTCCCATAAACGAATTTGTAATTATTCAAAAATACTTTTTAAAGACTCCCATAGCGCAACCCTTTTAGAGAGGTCTTGAAACATTTGTTTTCCAGTAAGCCTCACGTTACCTAAAGGAACAGCTCATAAACTTAAATATCTACAGGGACCGGACAAGCCAAATAAATGAGTAAAACCATTTGATTGTAGGTGGGAAGACTCCCTCCCCCACAACAGCAAAAGAAGACGTCTTTCCTACAAAAGGCAGCTAAGCCAATCCTCACTGAACGGTCATATGGATCAGTCTTACCAAACTTTCATGAAGAGCTACACCCTGAACTGTTTATGAAATTTCCCAATTTTAAAACGTAGGCCATTAAATTTTTTTCAAAATACTTTGTGATCGTCACAAAATACTTCAGTCGTTCTAAACTGGCTAATAAACGTGTTTTACTTTTGTTCTATGAAATAAAGTACAGTACAGCATTTTAAGCTTTACACTGAGAGAAAATTAAGTGGGTAAAAAGAAAGGTTCACAAGTAGCAAGAAAGCAAGATCTAGAATCTAGTTCTTGTTACCCAAATTTCATTCCTGTGATTATACGGCCTCTTTACTTAACAAATGAAATACAGGGGCTGGGGATTTAGCTCAGCGGCACAGCGCCTGCCTGGCAAGCGAGAGGTCCTGACATCGATTCCCGGACCGGAAAAAAAACAAAAACAAAAACAAACAAAAAACCAAATGAAATACGTTCACAGGTTTGCCAGAAAAACAAGTTAATAATCACAGGGGCAGTAGTAAATATAGGAAAGATAACATCAGCTTCAGAATTAATAGACGCTCTTTCTCTCCTGAAATATTTTTATGTAGACGTTCCAGGAAATTAATTACCAGTAACTCCTCAGATCAACCGTGAGAGCCTCACAAATGCTGTGTTAAATGTACAGGACACAGTATCTTTAAACCAAATGGTAATTTATAGCAAGTCTGTAAAACAACATCAGGTAGATCTCTCCAATGTCTGGAGAAAAGTTTAATTATTGCTGATAGCAAGCTGACTCCAATTACTAAGGCTTTTATTTCATAATACAACCTGTATCCATTCACGCATGAACACATACTGTCGGCCCACAACTTCCGGTTCGGTGGAGAAGATTCCCACGCTCAGAGGTATCTCTTTAAGTATTGAATGAAACAGGGAGGTCAGTGCTACGGAAGTGTGAAGGGCAGGGGCTGGCACCGCTAATTCTCTTCCTTGCTCTTGCTAACAGAGCTCGAAGTGGCACGGGCTGATTTTGCAAACTCCAGGTAGAGCCACCCGGGCCGGCGGGCTCCTCTCCCGCCCTGCGGTTCAGCTACTCCTCCGAGAGGCGGCCCTTCCTTACGAAGTCCTAACGGATGTGAGCGGCGTGCCCCGCCTGAACACCCGCCCCGTTCCACTCTCCGCGGGGACCTGCGCGACGTCTTCCGCCCCAGCAGGGGTCTCCCGGCCGGGCGGCGCACAGCCGGGGGGCGCGGGCCCGCCCCG